AGTAAGTTGGAGATTGGATACTCTGATTTTCGTCTTCTTTTTCAGAAGTCTGATAAACATTTCTAGGAATCCTAGAAGAAGTGTCTAAACCTTGAAGATTTAGAGAGGGGTCATGATTAACAGACCTAGGAATATCAGGTCTAACATAAGATCTAGAAGAAAAAGATCTCCTAGCAGAGACAAAATCAGATCGATTACTATAAGCATCGATCCTAGAGGAGAAAGAGTTTCTCCTATCAAAGGTTATTTCAACCTTTCCAGAATTGTCCTGTGAGATGTCCTGTATTTGAGGAGCAGGACGAGGAACACTAGGTGAGGCTTTATCCATCACCCATTTTTCTGGGAGAGTAACCTCATCCCATTTAATAATTCTAGGTAGAGAAACATTAGCCTTTGTCATATCAGTGATAAACAAAGTAGTTTCTCCCTTTTGAGGCTTGAGAAGGACTCTAGAGGCACAAGAATTCATGACCTTATACTGAATCCTATAGATTAATGCGGCGGGAATAGATCCCTCTTTCATGTCTAACCCATGAAAGCAAATATTAAGAAATAAGGAGTCTAGGATGTTTCAAAAAGACAGGTCTGCTATCCAAGAGAAATTCTATCAATTTCTCGAAAAAGTCAAACAAAATATTCCATTCTTTGATTGGTATCATGCTTATACCATTCGAAATAATATTAATTATCCCTGGCAAGAAGATGTTATTAGCACCTCCTCTGCTAATGTTATAACCTGGCAAATCAAAGATGGACAAATAGTCCAAAGTGATTTACCGCCCACATCTCAATACCAATTGCCTAATTTGAAAGACAAAGGCGGTAACCCTGTTACTGCCACTCCTTTCAAATCTAAGAGTGCTGATGAGTCTATCACTCCTCATGACATCCAAGGCCTTATGGAACAGGCCAATTATACCAATAAATACCTTCAGGTTTTAGGAGAGAAAATCTCTGTTAATCCTGTCAAAACGAAAATTGAAGAAACTGCTTCTTCATCCTCCCAACCACAACTAGAAAAACCTCTTTTTAAACCTTTTAAGATCAGCGCCAAAGCTAAGCAGAAAATCTTAGAACTTAGGCAAAAAGAGAAAACCAAAATAAATGAGGAAAATCAAAATGAGTTACTTAGTAAAATTACTAGTCTCCTCACTACCATTCCAGACACTCCTCAACCTTCTGAAGAATCTAGTGCTAAACCCAGAACTAGGTCTCTTGCCAAAACTATCAATGCCATCTCTAAGACTGATTCAGAACATTGTTCTGAAACAGACTCTGTCTTAGCTATTAATCCTATCAATAATTGGAAAAATTCTTCCAAGCTTTATTATAATAGAGCTACTGCTCCTGATCTTATTTTAGAAGAAAAACAAGATTTTATTCAAAGTTTTAATTCTAATGATATCTATATTTGGAATATCGATGGATTATCTGAATATAATATCATTGCCAAACTTCAAAATATGTCGGTTGTCGCTATGGGCTATTTTACTAACCAAAATATGCCTGAAGACACCATTGTCTATATTCTTGTTGCTGGTTTTACTGGCCAACTCAAAGGTTGGTGGGATAATTATCTCACTGAAGCTGACAGAGATAACATTCTCTCTGCAGTTAAAATTAATGATAAAGGTAAAACCATTGTCAGTGACAATGAGCATCTCCCTGATGCTGTGTATACGTTATTATACACAATATCCCAACATTTCCTGGGTGATCCTTCTCTTTGGAGAGAAAGATCTGGTGAGTTACTTTCAAAACTCAAATGTGATTCCTTAGAACATTTCAAGTGGTATAAAGATACCTTTATGTCTAGGGTCCTTACTAGGGAAGATTGCAACCAAGCCTATTGGAAAGAAAAATATCTTGATGGTCTTCCTAAAGCATTCGGAGATCTTATTAGAAGTAAACTCCGAAGTCATTCTTCTACTGGAGAAATCAATTATGATAATTATGATTATGGTCGATAATGTCATCCCTACCAATATTCCCAAAAAACCCAGAACAGGCGTAACCTGTTACAATTGTGGTAAACCTGGTCATATTAGTAAGTATTGCAGGCTAAAGAAAAAGATTAGTAGCCTCAATCTAGAGCCTTCTTTAGAGGACCAAATCAATAATCTCCTGGCTAATACCTCTGATGAAGAGGAAGATTCTAATAAAGAATCTGAAGAAGAGGTCAACCAAATTCAAAATGATGATCAAGCTTCTTCTTCTGACAGTGATGAAACTCCAGAAATCAATGTTTTGACAAAAGAACAAGATCTTCTTTTTGAAGCTATAAGCTCTATTTCGGATTTTCAAGAAAGAAAAGAATTTTTAAACAAATTCAAAGAGGTTTTAGAAAATAAACCTAAACCTAAAGAATATTTTACTTCAAACAAATTCGATATTACAGATATTTTCAAAAGATTAGAAAAGAATTCTAATATTAAACCAACCACTATTCAAGATCTCCAGATTGAGATAAATAATCTCAAGAAAGAAATCAGGGAAATCAAAGATCAACAACAAATTCACCAAGTTATTCTTTCTCAGTTAGATGATGACTCTGACATTGAGAAAGTAGAACTTCCTGAGGATAATGATTCTGTAAAGGTTGACTCTGGTAATCCAGAAGAACTTTTATGTGTGATCAACAAGTCAAATATTATCCAAAAATATTGAGACTAAGTCATATTGAATTGACCATTCTCTTCTCGCCCAGATGAGAAGTAACCTTGCTCAGGTGAAGAGTCGTAGGAAAAATGGAGAATTCTCTGGACCCATTCTCCCTCAGACAAGAATGCCTCTCGCTCAAATGAGATATCGCTAGCTTAGGCGAGAATGCTTCTCGCTCAAGCGAGAATAGTATAAATCTGAATAGATGTCACTGTCTGATTTTCTCGCCTAGGCGAAGATAGTCTCGCTCAAGTGAGGGTTGGCTTGCTCAAGTGAGAGCGCACGGATCTGGAGGGATATTTATGGAACCTCAGCACATAAAACATTTATTTTCTCATCAAATAACTTTTTCCTCTCGTTTTCTCTCTGTTCTCTTACCTTCTCCTCTAAAAAAAAAACTTACTCTATATTTGTTTTTGTATTTGATAAATGATACATACATTTTTATTGAGTTCTCTCGGTCTTTCTTGAATTTTGGTGACTTGAGAATGAAATTGTATTTCTCTTGGTCTCTCATAGCATAATTTACAGCCGTTATTTATTTTTCTCTATGTTAATGGGTCATTGAAGTCTCTTAGTTCACAATAATGATGCTTGTTTTTATTAGATGGTTAAGTATAGAGCAAAGGTTTGATAGGAAAAATTAGCAAGTATATTGAATTGTGTTAAGTAATAAAGTAAAAGTACAAATATTGTTTTCATGAAGATTGGATTCAACTAGCAACTCCCAAACCTCACCTTAAGCAATTAAATTCCCTCTCAACTCAAATTCTAACATCCAATTTCAGATCAAATTTACTGTATTAGGTTAATTTTAATTTCTTGATGACTAGCTTATTTCTTTCACATTAAAAATTTTAATTCTTTAAATTTTCTTAATTAGAGCAAGCATTAGGTTCAAGTATTTATAGGATCACGTAAACATCAATTTCTACTCCTACAAATATCAATCACTATGTGAATTACTTTATGATCTAATTCAGTAACCAAAATTTCAATTATGAAAGTGAATCTGACATCAAATAATTGTTGATTAATCCACAGAAGCATTAAAAATAAAAACAAACACTTAATTAAAGGAAGGAAAGAACTTAAATTGAAATATAATAATTCAATTTACAAGAAGTTTAGATTGAGATCATTCATCATCCCTTAACCTATAACCTAATTACACATGATAGAAGAAAATAAAATCATAAGAAAAGTAAAAGAAAAGAAATAACTCCATTAGGATTTGACGGATTTTCAAATTGATTCCTCAAAGTTAAATATCCACCAACCCAGATGTTGCACGGAGAAAGAGTGAGAGAATTGAAGTTTCACTCCACAAAGATGTAAAAAAGAAGCTAAAACTAGATACAAGTTTTCACACCCTTTTAAAGAATTCAGCTTGAAAACCAAAGTTCCTAATAGTGTTTCTAGCATTGCCAATATTGGAGTGATAAAAATTGACCTTTCTTTCCAAAAATAAGCATGGTTGACACTTAAATAACCTTGCTAATGCTGGACGATAAGAATATATACTTTCGTAACACTTTTCTCATATTCAAGTTCAATTATCTTCTAAAATTGAACTTAGACATCTTTATTATTCTCTAAAACAAAAATTCTTTGAATAAAATTTATCACTAATCTATTTTTTGCATTATTCTTTATACCTTTCTGTATATTTCATTTTTATATTACTCATGCATTGTAAATGCATGTATAAAACTTGTGGTGAAATATTATAAATAAATAAAAAATTACTCAAACTGTTAGTTAATGGTAATAAAATGTTTCATGTATGTAATTAAATAATAATTTACTTTCTACTCACTTTTGTTACATGATATTTACACAAAATTATTATTATTATTATTATTAAAATGATTATTATAATTTTTTATTTTGTAAGAAACGAAATATGATAATTTTATGTTTATTTTATTTTTCAATTAATTGAATGTTATTAATAACTTAATATGTTCAACTTCAATTCTACGTCCTGATGAACCATGAAACAATATTCTCACAAATTCAATGAGCAATCTGAATGGGGAATGGCGAAGGAAATAGTGAAGAAGGAGAATATTGTCCAGCTGGGAAGTCAAAGGTCTTGGTCATTCTCTGGTGGGGGCGGGTTTGGTCCTCAAAATTCCCCTACGTTAACGGATTCCCTTGAGTTTCCCGCGAGTTTCGCAACGTTCAAAAATGGGTCCAAGTCCAACCCCATCAACACCAATTGTTGTCGCTGCAACCCACGGTGCTCTTGGTCATTCTTCTCGCCAAACCAAACAACTAAATCTCCGATCCCACTCACTCATTCCCAATTCCAATCGCGGAATCCGTTAACCCCGGAATCCGCCATGGAAGATGTATAGAATACTATCGACGCCGGCGTCAAAGTTCCGTCAGTTCCGGCGACTCCGCTCTCGAGCGAAAAGCGCGGCGACCGACGAGGAACACGCGTTCCAGATCCTATGGCGGTACCAGATCCTGGACCCGAACAGCGACATCGTAGCTTATTGGAACAGGGTGTTCCTTGTGACGAGCCTCCTCGCCCTCTTCGTCGACCCTCTATACTTCTACCTACCCACCGTTGGTGGCCCAGCGTGCTTGCAAGCAGACCCCAAACTCAGCATTCTCGTCACCATTCTCCGTTCCTTCGCCGACCTCTTCTACGTCCTCCACATGCTCATGAAGTTCCGCACCGCCTTCGTCGCCCCCAATTCTAGAATCTTCGGCCGCGGCGAACTCGTCACGGACGCCCGCGAAATCGCCATCCGTTACTTGAAGTCTGATTTTGTCATTGACCTCGCTGCCACCATCCCTCTCCCTCAGGTACGTACTTTCATTTCTTATATTTCTTAGTAAAAATTGGATTCTTAGTGCAATACTTTTAATTGATTCATTTTGCCTTGCAGATCGTGATTTGGTTAGTCATTCCAGCGAGTAGTAAAGCAAGAACTGATCATGCCAACAACACCCTTGCCCTTTTCGTTCTTATTCAGTATGTTCCTAGGCTATTTCTTATCTTTCCTTTGAACCACCGTATTCAGAAAACCACTGGTGTTATTGCCAAGACTCCCTGGATTGGAGCTGCGTACAATCTTGTTCTCTATATGCTAGCTAGTCATGTAAGTTTGGTGTTCCTTCTACTCAGTGGATTTCAAATTTTTATTTCTTTCAATAATTATCATTGTTTATTGTTCGAACAGATTACAGGAGCAACTTGGTATCTGTCGTCAATAGGGAGACAATTTAGCTGTTGGCAAACTCAGTGCAATCAAGAAAACAAATCACATACCCTGTCTTGCTTGCCTAGTTATCTTGATTGCAATAGTTTGAACCTCCCTGAAAGGGAATACTGGCTGAACATCACCCGTGTAATTAGCAAATGTGACGCCAAGAGCAAGATCAATATCAAATATAAGTTTGGGATGTTTGCAGATGCTTTTCTGAATGACGTTGTCACTTCCAGTTTTAAGGAAAGATATTTCTATTGTCTTTGGTGGGGTTTGAGAAATTTAAGGTATATATGAAATCTTCATTGCTTCGTATATATTTTCGTCTCTCTTATTCCTACCTCTCTGCCTCCGTTACAATTTTGCTCTAGGCCTGTTTCAGAAGAGATATCATGATTGTGGCGAGCAATTGTTCAATTTCATGTCTTGGGTCATACAATAATAGCATTAACACACCAAGTTAGCTCGTGCAATCACTCTCAAAAATGGATATTCATATGTATTAATGGAACACTTAAGGAAAAAATTATGTGCATGGTTTTAATTTGGTTTTGAGTCCAACTTCAGAAAGTTGCAAATTATGGTGTTTCCCGTCGCTACCTTAATTATCATTCTGCCTTGAAATGATAATTAAGGGGTACCTCTTACACCTTATTATTTACTACTACATGCGCATCGAGATCACACGATAATTTTCTTTGGCAGTTCGTATGGACAGAATTTGGACACCACAACATACCTTCCGGAGACACTATTTTGTATCATCTTGTGCATTGCTGGATTAGTTCTCTTTTCACTATTGATTGGAAACATGCAGGTAAGACTAGCAGAAAACTGTATGGATTTATCACATAAATTCAAGAGGTAATACAAATACTGATTTTGGTTAATGGGTATTTCTTTTATTCCTTGTCGAAGACGTACTTGCAATCGATGTCAGTTAGACTCGAAGAATGGAGGATTCGGAAAAGAGACACCGAGGAGTGGATGAGGCATCGCCAGTTACCACCAGATTTGCAGGAACGTGTCCGTCGTTTTGTTCAATACAAATGGCTTGCGACAAGAGGAGTTAACGAAGAGGCTATAATGCTTTCGTTACCTCTTGATCTTCGTCGAGAAATTCAACATCACTTGTGTCTTTCCCTTGTGCGGCGAGTACGTCTCTCTCTCGATCCCTTGGGACACATACATTATTTATCCATCTTACCATGCTACATAACAATGCAAATTTTAAGTTAATAAGACCATTATTTGTTAGCCGGAACAACAAGTCGATCAATAATTCAAAACTCTCCTTGTTAGGGAAAATTTGTGTATAGAAAAGAGTGAATGAAAAGTAAAAATAATTGTGTATAGTATTGTATATATGATATTAATTTTCAGTCGTAGAAATAACACAACTTCACTTCTTAATTTGTACAGGTCCCTTTCTTCTCACAAATGGACGATCAGCTTCTCGATGCCATTTGTGAACGTCTTGTGTCATCATTAAGCACAGAAGGCACCTACATATTTCGAGAGGGTGATCCAGTGGATGAAATGTTGTTTATCATTAGAGGGCAATTGGAGAGCTCGACAACGAATGGAGGAAGGTCTGGATTCTATAATTCCATAACACTAAGACCTGGTGACTTCTGTGGAGAGGAATTGTTGACATGGGCCTTAATGCCAAACTCAACCCTCAACCTACCTTCTTCGACTCGCACTGTCAAAGCCCTCACTGAAGTTGAAGCTTTTGCACTACAGGCAGAGGATCTGAAATTTGTTGCAGGTCAGTTCAAGCGCCTTCACAGCAAGAAACTTCAGCACGCGTTTAGGTATTATTCCCATCAATGGAGAGCATGGGGTACTTGCTTCATACAAGCTGCTTGGAGAAGGTATCAGAAAAGAAAGGCAACAAGGGAGTTATCCCTGAAAGAGGGTCTTTACTACATGGCAGTGCCTGAGAGTGATGAAAGTGGAAATTATGAGGATGATGAGATCGGGGAATCCTCAGGGAATGTGAAAAAGGTTCAAAACCTTGGTGCAACTGTTTTGGCCTCAAAGTTTGCTGCCAATACAAGGAGAGGGAACCATAAGCTACAAGGCAGTGACCCTGTGCCGCAATTGTTCAAGCCAGATGAACCTGATTTCTCTGTAGACAATGAGGAAGTTTAGTGAGCACAAAAACTAATCCTAAACTGAAAACATAGTTTTAACTTTTAACACTGGTTCAATAGGAAGTCTTATTATTTGAATGTAAAATGTATTCATAGATTAGTAATGGTGATCGCGGGTTCCCCATTAAAGCTAATTAAAATTTATTCAAAAATAAATAGACTCGTCACGAATTTCTGTTTTAAAAAAAATTAAAAACACTTTATAAAGGCATTTGAAAATTAAAATTAGATTCAATCTTACTGTACTTAGACGTATTAATTTAAAAATAATTGTGTTAAATTTAATTGTGTAAAATTTGATAAACATTTAAAAATATAAATTTCTAATAAGTAAAATATAAATAAAAATAGAATAAAATAAAATCAATCTTACTGTCACATTTAATTTGAGAAAAAGTCACAACCTTCAAGAAGATCTCTACCTGTGAGACTTGCCTTGTCATACTCTTTTTTGAGAGGCAATACTTAAAATATTTGATCTCGGTTTACACACTTTATAATGATTCATTTAAACTTTAATATTATTTAATCAATCAAAATTTTATAATATCAACACCTTCCCCTAACTTACTATAATTATTTTATATTATAACTTGGTGCTTTATTTCTATTTTTGTTTTTTTAATTTTTAGAAATTATATTTAAATTTTTTTTGACAATTATGGCTTAATGATTAAAATAAAACTTTTTTTAAAAAATAATTATCAAAATAAAACTTTTTTAAAAAATAATTATCAAAATAAAACAAAATTAAAACTTATTCTCTGTCTCGGGTTTTTTTTTGCCACGTCAGCTGTGATTTCGTATATAATATGGGTGAAATTAAAATTTATTTATTTATTTATTGAATTCGTCTAGAAAAGGGATGAAATGCTGAAAAAATGGACACGTGTAGCATGATTCGTATAAGGATGAGACGAAACGAGCAAAAAGTTTGAATTAAATTTTTCCGCCTCCAGACACGTGGCCCAATCAATATGTTTCGTCCCTAATTAGAACGAATAGCTGATTTCATCTTACTTAGAGACGAAACATTCTGATTGGGCCACATGTCGACGGAGCAATGGTCACCGCGCCTCCCCCTTCGTTTCTCCCCTTCCGCGTTTGCAAATGAAGAAACCTCCATTTTTTTCGTTCAGGGGCTTTTGGGTATCAATTTTTTTTATCATTTTAGCTTGATTTATGAGTGAGGATCATCATCCCTTGCAGAATCGTGTCCAAATTTGCTTGATTTGCAATCAGTGAAGGTATTTTTGGATTGAAATTTGGAAGAGGTTGGGAGAACGGTAATCTGCTACACAGTCGCTGTTAAAGGACAAGAGGAGATCGTCGGAGAAACGCCGTCGTCCAGACAACTTGCCACTATCCCAGGGAACTCTCAGTCGCCAGAAAACGCCATCTCCGCCGCCTGAAATCTGCAACCTAGGTATTTCCATTTTCAATATAATTATTTTGTATATTTTTTATATTTTTTATAAATAGAAAAACCTGTAATGTAATATTTTGATTAAAAAATTTAGGAAAAAATAAAAAATAAATTGATTAATGAGAGAAATTTTAATTGTAAAATTAATATTAAAAATAGAAATTTGAGAACTAAATTTATTACATTTTTAGTTTGTAGAAAAAATCTGATAGTAATTTATACCACAAAGTGTTATATCCCATGTCCATCACCATTCTTGACGTTGCCTCCATATGATGTACCTATTCTAACACCACCAGCACTAGCACCAGATTTTGTTACTGGGACATCATATGATACCTCATACAGTTATGGAATAGATTTGAATGTTGACTTCGAAGCAACCGTAGATGTTCCACCTGTAGAGGTTCATCGTAACCCACATCGTGGAGCCAGAGATCGGCCTAGGGAGTGCATATTGACCCCACATCAGCCCGACCAACCACACGAGAATAGAGCTTGAGTTTTTCTATAAACTAATTATACATATTTTGTGTACCTTTACTAGATGTTTTATGACATATGGTACTTTGTTTCATTTTAATCATCGTTCGATTAACATTTACTTATGTTATTCATCGTTCGATTAACATTTACTTATGTGATTCATGTTTCTTATAACAAGAAATAAGGTGATATAGAAGTGCATATTGACGTACATTGTATGCCAAGTATATAAACTACAAACCCACATGTTGATAGTTAACAAATGACTAGCTGTCACATACATAAACTCCTCAATACTACTTATTAGGTGATATAGAAGTACATTGACGTACATTGTGACCAATTTGATGACAATTACTACATTGGGTTCTACTTTGTGACTCAACCCAATCCATTTCATTCCTAATTCGAGATGATTTTGGTCTTCCTTTACCTTTGATTCTTGTCTCATCAGGCACTAATTTTCACTCATTGCGTGTAAGAATATTACCATCATTTCCCAAGGGGAATCATTGTGATGAATATGCATTAACAACATTTTGCACAAAGTAAACATCATCAACATATTGCCAAATGTCAATACTTACTGATGCACAGGCAGCAATCACATGTGAGCATGGAAATCGATATGCCTGAAATCTCCCATATTCACAATATCTTTTATACATAACAATAGTTCATTTGTTACCACCCCTTTGCGTGATAGGATTAAAGGCCTCTTCAACCTCAAATGTTGTTCTTGCTATATCATATCGTCTCACTTGATACGAGATGCTTCCTCTTGATTTTTCTGCATTTTTAGCATTAGTTTTGAACAAAACCTCTTACCATGGTTCAAGTCATTCATTGTGTCCTCTCCACGCTTCACAAAATATTTAACCATTCGTCCATAAGTGCATTTGACCAGAGCAGTTATAGGTAAGTTTCTTGCTCCCTTTAATACCTTTTTAATAGCCTCTGACAAATTGTGGTCATATGTTCATAACGACATCCATCGATGTCATGACTCAAAACCCACTTTTCCTTCGATATGTTGTCGATCCACCTCTGTATTTTTGGTGATTCAGTATGGAATCTTCTTAACTTCTCTTCAAATATAAGCTTCGAAGGTATATATGTTGCAATGGACAAATACTACATGACTTCATAATTCAAATAAATATAAAGTAAGAGGAAGCCAAATATGAATTAAATCATGTTACCTAATTTCATCAGTTATTTTTTCAATTCAATGTTCTTGAATCTATGGTTGAAATTGCTCGCAATATGATGAATGCAATAAACATGGTATGCATTAGGAGGTTGCCATTCAATATGTGGGTTTGAAACAACACTTTTGATGCTTTGATGTCTATCAAATATTAAACATATTCCTATCTTGGTTGTTACGTGGACACGAATCATTGCCCAAAATCATTCCCATGCTGATAGAGTCTCCCCTTCAACAATAGCAAATGCAAGTGGTAGGACACAATTATTTCCATCTTGTGTTGTTGTAATCAACAATGTGTGATGATACTTACCATACAAAAATGTTCCATCTATTTGAACAACAGGTTTGCAAAAGTTAAATGCTTCCTTACATTGATGAAAATACCAAAACAATTGCTCAAATACTCTAAATTATTGTCCTCTTGATGTCCAACAACAAATGGATTCATTTCAATATTATAAATAGAACCTGGAGCATGAAATTGCATGTACTCTAACCATCTTGGCAATGTAGCATATGATTCATCCCAGTCACCAAATATTCTTACAATTGCCTTTTGTTTCGCCTTCCAAGCTTTTTTGTATGAAATTTTATATCCAAATTGAGTTGTCATCCTTTCTTGAATTAGACTTATAGGCAATGATGGTTCAAGATTAACCATACCTACACAAAACAAAAATAAAAATTGAACTAAGTATCTTCATAGAGAAAAGAAATCACAAAATAAGATATTATTCAAAATTTACCAATTATGCATGAAGAAATCAAATCTGAATCTAGTTTGATATGGTGTTGAGATATTGTAGGGTTGAGACATGTATGCTTACCCCCACATCTTGTTATTTTCCACTTTATTGAATTTTTAAGCAATGATGCTCTTATTCTCCATCGGCACCCATTCTTATGGTTTAAATACCTCACATGCAACTTTGTTGGTTTTGACTCAACAACAAAATAATTCTGATGTATTCTCATTGCATGTTGTTTTAAGTCATTTTTAACTTCATCTTTTAAGTCAAATAACAAACTCACATATAACGGATCTCCAATAACCCATGAATTATCTTCACTAATTTCTTCTGCTTCAATTTCTTGGTCTGAGTGGTCCCAATTAATAGATTTGTAGTGTGGACTTACATTCCAAAAAGGTATTTCACCTACAATTACATTTAAACATACAATATTCATCATTAAAATAAAATAAAAAATTTAATCAATATACTTTTTAAATGTTACCTCCAACATTTTCTTGTTGTAAATTTAAGTTTGAATCAAAATCACCATCAATGTCTGTATCTGACGAGCTGTCTAACATAATATGTCCTTGATTAATATCATTTGTGTCATCATCACTATTGATTTCATCATCTTCATCTTCATAATTGCATTGATCTCCACATCCTTCAAAATACAAACACTTATTCAATATGTGTTGTCACTAAAAAAAGTTTAAAAATAAATTATAACAATATAATTTATACCTTTTGTAACATTTATATTGACCATTTCCATAGGGTTAGGCGGTGACATTAATAAGCTTAAGTCCAACATATTCGACCCACCTCTTGAACTCTCACCAAATGCAATATCCACATATAATTCAATAAGATTTGTAATACTTTGTTGTTGATACGCACTAATCATATAATTAATGTCTTCATCATCACATATATCTAATGCATTGTATTGTTTAGCACTTGAATCAACCATAAAACGAGAAATTATTCTAGATATGACATGATTATTACTAAGATTCAACTTGTCATGAATCTTTTTCTTTAAATTCATATAACTTATCCCTCTTTCTATCTTTATCATTTTTTTGTTACTTTCAAATGTCACACCTTCATTTCCAACAATAATTTTTCCATTCCAATATACAATAATAATAATCACATTCATCCTGCATTTATAAAAAAAACATATCAATAATTATTTACAATTATACTT